AATTTTTTTTTTTTTTTTTTTTTAATGGGCCTGTTCTTTTCACTGAATATGGGAACACAGAATTACCATTTCTTTTTCCCTGCCCCTCAATAGACTAATGTCTGAGTACCTTTAGTCACCAAGAAGTAAATTTCACTTACGTATATCAGGCAGTGAAACTGAAAATGCCCTGTGGATTTACAGAAGACATGACAAGGTTAAGGACAAAGCCTCATTCAGAAAAATTAGCTCCTGTATTTTATATAACATAGTGATAGCTAGGTGTCCTAGTTCAGATGCTCCTATGCAAGGATGTGAAGCACACCTCCTTATCCTTGCTGTGATCACTCCCAACTATCACTACCATCACCACCAAACCTATTCACAATGTGCTTGTTTATCCCCACTGACTGCCTGTAGCCCATTTCCTAACTAAGCAAATCAGGCTGTCCCACAGCCCTGACCTTCTCCTTCCGCAGAATCCTGTTTCTGTCTATTGACCTTCCAAAAGGTCAATCATGTGCATTCAATGTGTATAAGCACTGTGAGAGAGAATAACCCACAGGTGAATTTATGAATACCACTGCAGACACTGCACCTTGCCCACGATGGTTCAGGCAAAGCGGGACTTTGTGTATCTGTCAGCCTGACAATATTACCGCCCTTCTGGAAAGAGATAAAGAGAGACTTTTACCTTAAATTTTCTTTTGACTTGGTTGCCTTCATTTTAAATCTGTCCTTTTCTTTTTTGAAAAATTGCTGCAGCCTCTTAAGTGCTTCTTTTCCATCTAAACTAAAAGGAGTCCGAGGATAAAATATATGGTGTTTGACATGGAAGGCTGTTGTATTAAAAAGGACCTGAGGCTTCAGTCTCATTTTCAAAATATACCCAGCTCAAGGAAGAGCAAGATGATGCCCCATCAACCACAATGCTTTTCTTCATTTAGATTTCAAAGTAGCACACACTAATCAATCACAAAGGGAGAATTATATCACAGTACACATTTTACCTACTCTAGCTAGTCTCGGTTTTTGCAGAATTTATGGAATAAGTTCTTCCCTTCAGGGAAGATAACTTAGGAAAGCACAAATTACAAACTGTAATACATTGTAGGAATTCCTGAATCCTGAATTTCAAGTCATTGATTTTTAAATTCCCAAAGACTAGAACAATGGTGGCACATTGACTGCCCAACTGATGACTAAAATTCTCCCTTTCAGGACACTGGGGTAGGAGGGAGAAGAGAAGAGAGTGATATACTCATCATCCCACCCAGTACACCTAGCTCAAGATTCCTTCTTTGCCCTTCAACCCTTAAACTTCTCCCTTTTGACCACTGCTATTCTTTCCAGGATGTGCTCTGTAACTAAACTTAAGGAATAATGTCCCAACAAAGATTGTTCTCCATAACACATTGCTAGATTAACCAATCCTACATTCCAGTTTGCCCTACTAACTTGTAAAGACAAAGGTAAGTTATAATCTTTGGTTTGCTCGTAGAAAGAAACCACAGAATTGAGGCTTTTTAAAAATGTTTACTTCTCCTATTTTATCTCCTAAAAATATCAAGTTTCTCTACTCTGAGAAATAAACATTTTTTTCAAAAGAGAAAGCAATGTAATATAAAATTTATCCTGTTAGTCACAATGTAGCGATTAGAATCAATTAGAGTAGAATTGCTTTTCAAATCAATTAGAAGTGCTTATCACCACTTATTCTGTGAACCCTCCCGAAAGCACAGTAGTGGGTTAGGAATTATTTCTTAAACTCTGGTCTTCTACAAACAGGAAACTTCGTTAACGTACAAAGCCAAGAAAGAAAAACTCACTCTATTTGGGGGGACTTGCTCTTTGTTTTGTAGACATCCTCATACATTTCTTCACTACTTTCTTCTGAAACTAAAAAGAAATCTATTTTTACTCATTCAGATTAATAATTGACAAAAATGTCTGGATACCTACTAGATGCTAGGTACTTTGGTCTTTCACCCCCTCCCCTTTCCATGTTTAATATATAGCAATTGGAGTCTTCTAAGCAAGAGACATTGTGCTGAATGCCCGGAAAACAGTGGAAAATATGATACATTTTGAATGATCTCTCCTTTCATAACATGGCTTTATTCTAGCCCAATACATATGTTTAATAGGCACAGATAATATGTTGATTCTGTCCTAGCAATGGACTCTAATGAAAAGAACATTGGATTAAAGGCTAAATTTTAAGGTTCAAAACTTTAATCTTAGACAAAACACATAATGAACATAAAGAATCTGCTTTTCTCTGCTTTAATTTCCTTTTTATTTGAAGAAGTTGGATTTAATGTTCCCTAAGTTGCTTCTTCATCTAAAATTCTGAGATTCTAAGGAGAAAATCAACTGAAATTACATTTCATTATTCTTCACTATTTTTTCTTTTGACAAATAAAGATTGTATATGCTTATGTATATACCATGTTTTTTTCTTTGTTTGATTTTTTTTTTTCCAGTACCAGGAATAGAACTTGGGCCCTTGCACTTGCAAGGCAGGCAGCGGAACCACTGAGCCAAAACCCCGGCCCCTACCATGGGTTTTGATAATTGTATATATCGTGGAATCAAACCAATATACCTGTTACCTCACATGCTTTATTTTTGTGGTAAGAAAATATTATTTAAAAATCTACTCAGAAAATTTCCAAGTATAGAATATCTTGTTATTAAATGTAATGACATTGTCAGTTACTATACAGCAGATCTCTTGATGTTATTCCTTCTGTGTAAAAGACATTTTATATCATGTGATCAATACATCCTCATTATTTTTAATTTGTTTATTCTTTCATTCACTAGATATATTTTTAAAAGATTTCCACATGCACCTGGCACCATGCTGGGGGTGAGAGAAGTGGTGAACATAAAGAAGGTAATAATCTAGGAGGGAAGACAGTTATGACTCAAAGGGTCACATAAATGTAAACTTACAACTGTGGCAAGTGCTAGGTAAGAGAGTCCTGTGGGATGATAAAATTGCATACCAAGGGGGGCCTACAATGGAGATCCAAAAAGATGAGTCACGTAGGCAAGAGGAGCCAGAGAAGAAAGCATTCCCAAAGGACAGGGTGGCATCTGCCAGCATCCTCGGGGAAGTATGGCAATTATAGAAGCTGACAGAAGGTGGGCATGAGGAACACCAACGGGAAGACACTAGCGTGAGATGAGGCCCCATGGGCCAGCACATAAGGCCTCTCAGCTATTCTCATCCTACACAGATTGGAAGCCTTGAAGGCATTTTAAGTAAACACATTCCCCTCATCAGACTCACCTTGTAGAGATATGAGGAAGGAAGCAGTCTCACAGTTTCACTACTTTTTACCACAAGAACGTGCTTTAACAGAATCTTCCCCTGCCCTGTTCTAACTGCATCTAATAGCACAGACCCTGGGACCACTTCTTTTAGCTCCCCATCACCCCCTACCAACTGGTATTATTAAAACTATTGACAAAGGGTGCATGAGAAGCACTCTGCACGTCCTATGGGCTTTTCAGCTATGTCTTCCTAGACTTACCACTATCTGAGGCAAATGAGCTGGAGAAGTCTGACTTGGATCTGTGGGAGCAAAGAAACAAGACAGTCAATCTGTTGCATCTTTAAAGTCTCGTCATATTCATTTCTGAAAGGCTGGAATGCACGTACATATCCGTCACGGGGCAATCCACATCGTCATACGTGGCCTGTGACACAGAACAGGACTTGAAGACCACCGGGGCCTGGGTGTGTGCCGTCAGCTCCAAAGTCTCTACATAGTCACCTGTAAGGAAGCAAGAGAACCCCCTGAAGAACATCTCATGAGCTCTGTCGCAAGTGTGCACACATCCCAAGAGCAGGGAGAGGCAGGCTGCACTCACTACCCTGGATGGAACCTTGACACGCCATCATCTTGCAGGTCATCAGTTATGATTCTCTTTGAGGTCAAGGGTAAGGATAGCACTCTCATGTGACCGTGGCAAGGATTAAACGCATAATTATGATGAATCGTAATCCCTAGAAAACCAATCATTGCTATGGCTTTGAGGGCTCTTTCTTCATTCTGCCCTCAAATGTTGAAGCCCTCCAGGGTTAACCCTTGGGCTTTTCTCCCAGTCTAAATGACTTACCAGTCTTGCGGCATCTTTTGCTTGTGGCACAATTTCTCAGAGAAGTTGGCTGCACATGCCAATACGTAGGATTTGTTAATAGAATTAGCCAGAAGATAGCATGCTAGGCTAAAGCGTGTATTGGGATATGTTTGCACAGGTAGCTTGTCTGCTAAATGCAGGTGCTGGGTTATTTCGGAGTGCTATACATTGGTCACAACTGTAAAACTGCCGCCTATTAGTTGGCAGGATTAATATTTACAGCGTGGGTGATTTGGAACCTTTTTCAGACATGAACTACTAGAAACGAGAGATAATGTATCTTAAAAATAAGCAGTAGGTAAAGTGAATTTACCTATTCATTAAATGATCAAAACAATAAAATTTTACCATCTGGCAAGAAGGAATTTAGTATGCAAGCCCCAAGCCATTTCAAAGAAGGGTCAGCTCCCAACAGCAAAGGCTACTTCTTCTCAAGGAGTTACCAGAATATTTTCCCAGCACAAAATAAAGATACTAAACACATAGAATATTTTTTCTTCTTCTTAATTCTTCTTTTTGGCATTTGAACTTTTGGAAAATGCAAAAGTTCATGACATTCTTTTAAAAACAGCTCTCAAATTTACACCTTCAATTTAAGACATCTCTCATGAATTCCAGATACACCATCAACCTTCATACACTTTCCATTTGGTTGTCTAAGCAGATTACATTCTAAACCAAACTCATGATTTCTCCTTAAAAGTTTGCTAAAAAGCCCACTTCCTCTCAGAAAAAAAAAAAAATCAATTCTATCCATTCTGTTTTTCAGGCTCCCTGCCTTAAAATCATCCTCGGTTCTTTTCTCTCTCACGTCTCACCTCCAATCAATAGCCACCTGTCACCTCTACTTTCAAATTATACCTGAATCCAACCACATCTCAACAACTCCAGCAGCTGGGCATGGTGGCACAAGACTATAATTCCACCACTTGGGGGGCCAAAGCAGGAAGATTGCTGCAACTTTGAGGCCAGGCTGGGCTGCACAGTGCACTCAAGGCCAGCCTGAACTACATAGCAGTACCCTGTCTCAGAAAAAACAAAATCAAAGTACCCTCCTTCAAACTACCATCAGCTCTTACCTCAGTCATTACAACATCTAACAGGTCTCCCTGGTTTATCCTGCATTCTGTTCTCAAGAGAGCAGCCAGATGATCCTTTAAACAGCAAGTAGACCATGTCTTTCTTCCACTCAAAGCTTTCAGTGGTTTCAAAGATCTCATTCGGAGTAAATGCCATAGTTTTTGCAGTGGTCCTCAAAACTTCCAGGTGTCTCTCTGGCCTCATCCTCTCCGGCTCCCTTCTGTGGTCCTGCTGCTTTGCCAACACACGCAGCACTCTCCTGCCTCAGTACCTGCCCTTCTCTTTCTCTTTCCCAGAATATTCTTTGTTTTAGTCTACTTCTAACTGTATGATCACTTCTCAGCCTTTTGGCTAAGATCAAGTGTACTTCTAATTATATGTAATTCTCTATTTTCTTATACGACTAGTTTTCTTTTTTTATCGTTAGCATGTACATGATGTCTACATTCATCAAATCCCCATCCCCTTTCTGTCCAGTTCCCTGCCTCTGCCTCTAAATCCTCTTTCCCCATTTTTATGTTGATGTTATTACTCTTAGCTCATGCTTATGACATACGCTGTCTACATTCACTGAGGTTATTAGGCTCCTGTACGTAGCATATCTTTATTCTACTTATTTCCCTTTCTCCTGTCTCCCCTCACCCTGGGTCTCCTGGACATCTTCCCATCTGCAAGAGATCTATGCCCTGTCTCCTTCTATCCTTCCTTTATTGCTCTCTTTGTTTATATATTGCCTTATTCAAATGGCAGATACTGTGTGGCATTCAAGTTTGTGTGACTGATTTATTCCACTCAACATTGTAGTTCCCCGAGGTAGCTATTTTCCTACAAATGTCTCCCAAGTATCCTCCTTTACAGCCGAGTAGTGTTGCATTATGTACAGAGACTATATTTTCTTTATCTACAAATCTACTAATTGCTTGGAACATTATCTTAGACACATTTATATGTTCATTCCTCACCTACGTTAGGTCTCCAAGGTCATTCATGAACACTTGAAGGTTGCAGCGTTCACTAATTCCACACGCCTCCTTCTCTTTTCTCGCTTTTTCACAACATTTACTACTACTCTACACAGGTAATATTTTATTATTTATGTATACATTATGTCTTGTTTGATTAGAACCCCCAACGGGGCAGGAATTTTTGTCTTCTATTTGCTGCTGTCCCCCTCGGCACCTAGAACAATGCTGGGCACTCAAGCACTTTTTGAATATTGAACAATTGGATACATCTCTTTTCTAACTAAGAGTTTCATGTCTTACATGTTGAGTTTTTACTGATTCTTTTAAATTTGTATATACTTATCACATCTTTTTATTTTGTCCCATGTTTTCCCTTTTTCCTGACATTGTTCTAAACATTAGTGCATACTGGTCAGACAGGTTAACAGATTTCATTTTGGTAGGTTTGTGTAGAGCATAACTTTAATCATATCCCCCATCACTCCTCTTGCCCCACTTTCCCCCAGTTTTACATGTTTGGAGGTTTCAATGCATGTGATGTATTTTGATTAGACTCATCGCCCCCTTTAGCTGTCTCCCTTTTTCTTGAATTGGGGAAGTTTCTTTTCTTCCTTATGCTTATTTCTTTTCCTACCTGTTTGCAAGGTACGTGTGCTATGTCTGTTTTTAATAGTCATCCTAGTCTATGTTAAAGATTAATGACAGTATCATTTACAGGGAAAGACAGCCATCATATTCGAACAGATCAATGATTTTTCCCAAGTTGAACAAACACGTCCATGTGGACAGAGCCAAAACCAGCCTCGCCGGTGGCCCAGAGCGCCCCCTTGTGCTCTCTGTAAGCAATTGTTCTCTCCTGCAGAGCAATCACTCTGGACTTTAAATATCAGAGGTAATTCTACTTCTAGCGTTTTATTAATGCAGATATTCCGAATGTAGTCTTTAGTGTTACCCACTTTCACTTTGATATTAAGTTTGTGAGATTCACCCATGGCGTCGCATTTAGTTGTAATTTATCCCTTTCCATGGCTCTGTCTTCCATTATATGAATATAGGGCAGTGTATTTACACTCTGTGAACATTCTTACTTTTTATGACATTTGGTCGGTTTGCAGTTTGGGGATATTACAAAACGTTCAATTATGAACAACTTGTGTGTGAATTAAAGTAAGCTTTTCTATTGGGTATATACACAGCATATATTAGGTTAGGATCGTGTGTGCATGTTTGATTTTAATACTGCCAGCTTTCCAAATGCTTGTCCCAGTTTACAGTCCCTGAAGACCATGAGGGTTCCAGTTGGTGATGTCTTCACTATCACTTGACAGTTTTTCTATTTTTTTTTTATTGAATCTATTTTGATTGACAGATAGGGTTCATCTGCATTTCTCTGAGCATTAATAAGGTTGAGTTTCATATTGTATTTGCCTTTCACTATTATTATTACGCTCTTTGGTGAAATGCCTGTTCAAATATTTTCCCAATTTCACCATATTTCCTTTTTAGTGATTTCTATCTTATGTTTTCTGAATGTAAAGAGGTTGACAGAAGTTATACATTTCCTACATGAGTATTTGTTCAAATGTGCAACTTATGCAAGTACTCCCATCTTGTGACTTCCCTTGTCACTATTTCACTTGACTCATTTAATAAATATTCCTAACTCTTCTAACTTTTTAAGGATAAAGCAAATTAATATTGTTACCTTCTTCACAATTAAAAATCTTAGAATGTTTTGGCTTTGATCACTTTCTCAACATCTGTGCTATTCATGTTCAATATTTCCATCTCCCTTCAGTGGGACATTATTATTTTATTAAACTGATACTTTTGTTAGGCTCTCTTTCTTACACCCAAAACTTGCTGTATCTGGGGTTATTTTCCTTCTGTCTTTATAAAGTACATGCTTTGGACTTTTCTTCAATACATTTTAGTCAATGTAATGGTTAATGTGGATTGTTAACTTGATGGGCTTGAGAGACTCCTAGGAGATTACAGCTCATTTCTCAGTGTCTCTGGATGGGCCTGGGGGACATGACCTTGGGGCCTGTAAGCCCTGACACCTTTTCTCTTTGATGCTTTTCTTCTGCTCCTGCTTCCCGGATGCCATGAATTAAGCAGTTTTCCCCTGCCATGCCCTTCCACCACAGTATTTCTGGCTCAGAGCCAGTTGAACATGGACTGAAAGCTCTGGATCTGTGAGCTAAAATATACCCTTCTTTAAGTTGTGTATGTCAGTATTTTCTACTTCCAACAGAAGGAAAACTGTACTGGAAAAGTGGGATTGTTGAGCGACTATACTGGACCTTGTGGTTGGGAACTGATTTGTGGAAGGAGTTTGGGAAAGCTGGAAGATGAGGGCTAGAGAAGCCCTAGAATGCAGTAAGCGGATCCTGATGGGCGATGCTGGTGGGAACGCAGAAGGCCAGGATGATGACAGGAAAGTCAACAGTGAAGACCGGGCTCATGAAGTTTCAGCTGGGAGTGAGGACTCTGATGGGAATTAGACTAGGGACCAGGTATATCATGTTTGAGCAACAAATTTGTCTGCCTTTTGTTCGTGTCCTAAAACTGTGGGCAGCTGAGTG